AACCATTTTGCATGAGCTTTCTGGTAAGCAGCTACTGAGCACTCCTAGTAGATCGGGTCCTGAAAGTGAGGTAGGCAAAGGGACACCTGTCTTTCCCTGGTTTGTGCATCACATTGGGATCTAAGCATCTAGATGCCTAGATAACCTATGTGTGCAGAGGCAGAAATACAGATGCTAGAGAAGTTTTTACTGCAAAAACTGAAGAGTCAAGCAAGTTTAGTGTCAAGTTTAGTGTCAAGCAGGGTTTGACAGAAGCTGAGAGGGGCTTTTGTGAATGTCAGTGAGGACTGGAGTGAGCTGGGACTTAGACACCAAAGTGGCAATTATTCACGTAAGTACTGTTGTGAATCTAACCCTTAGCGTAACCTGCTGCAGTATGTCGTCCCGACAGATGACACACTGTAGCAGTATGTCATCCTGGTACATTTTTGAAATCCCAAACTACAGACTCCCAACCATTCTGACCAGATCAGTTCTTGGCTGTTTGGTTTTGTTTTTGTTTTTTTTATAGAGCAGAAGTTCTCGATTTGTGCTCCATAGAGAGTTGGTTGTCCATGGTGCTGACATTCCCCTCCTTCTTTCCAGCAGTTAACGTGCATTAATAGATAGAGCCCTGCAAATTCATGGATATCTGCTTTATATCCATGCATATCTGCATCTGCAGATGCGGGTGTGGATATTTGTTGCTCGTTTTTGCAGATACCAATTTTATATCTGTGCATGGCTCTACTAATAGACAAAACATAGTAAATCCCTTTCTAATACTGCTTTTCCTGAAAGCAATTGCTATAGTTGCCACAGGAATGATAAGTCATTGTGAATGGAAGGCAAGGTGATCTGTAGAGTGAAGGCGTCCGTGAAATAGTCCTGAAAGCTTATGCCCAAATAAATTCACTAGTCTTTCAGGTGCCACAAAGTGTCAGAGCTCCTGATGTACTGGCTGATTCTTCCTGCCCATTTTATAGATTCAGGGCCTATTCCTGTAAGATCAGGCCCTTTAGGTGCTTGCTGAACCAGGAATAGGATCTGATGTGTCCTTGAGATACAAAATAGAGCCCAGTATCCACAGAGCCTAGTGTCTGCTGAATAGAGCCCTGATATGCATCCCAATATTTCCTTTCATTTAAAGGAACCAAATGCAGCAAATCTTTTTTAAACTACCTCCATGTTTTACTAACTCAATGTCATTCTTTGTGTGTTTTAAAACCCTCCCAATACTTTAACACTTTTTCTACAAAAACAAAATCCATTCCAGCTGCCCAGCCCTCATCCTCATGAGCCATCCTCCACTAACAAACCAGAATGTGCACGTGAAGGAGGAAAAAAAAATTCGGTAAGGAAACAGATTTCAGTTTAAAGCTTCCAAATGGTTATAAAAACAGTGAGTAAAAATGTTTTTAAAACTGTTGAACAAATTAGGGAAAATACCTTTCACACTCATAGTCAGATAATTCTGGTATGTTGGCTATAAATACAAATTTATTAATAATGAGGCAAAAAACAACTGTGCAGGGCACAGTCAAAGCTCATTTTTTACTCAGCCTCTAAAATAGGGTACTCAGTTCTGCATTTAAGTGACAAGCATGGCATAAAACCAGAAAGACTTAGGGTTTGTCAACATGAGCAGTTTGCAGTGACTCTACTCAGGCCTACCGATGGGAGCGGGGGAAAGGGTAGACGCAAAGGAGACAGTTGCTCCAGGACCTGGTAATTCAAAGGTTCAGGGCTCCCAGCCAATGCTGCTACTGAGGCAGTGGCTAGAGCTATGGGCCCTTTAAATCACTGCTGGAGCGCTGCACCAGGTGCTCTGAGCAACTGTGAGAGCTGGGGTGGGGGAGGGCCAGTGCTGTGCTCCAGGTGACACAGAGGACTGGCTGCTCCACCTCCACCCCTTCCACTCAAGGCCCTGCCACTTTTGGAGCCACCACACCCACACTTTGTAGGGAGCCCACGAAAGCTGTTGCTCCCCCCACAACTCTATTCCACAGTCGCCTCCTATGGATTAGCTACCCAGGGACCCTTTGGATACATGAAAAATTTGTCAATGTGCTTTGATTAGTTCTGTTTCATAGAGGTTTAGCTCAAAAGGCTAAAACAGTAAACTGTTACTGTGCACCTGCAGAGTCCACTCAAGGCAGGGCAGATTCAGTTCTCTGCAAACTGAATGTTCATGTCATCAAACCTCTAGGTGCTTTTTGGCCTGATCCAATTCTAACTAAAATCAATAGGATTGGGGCCTTCGATTAGGATATTTGAGTACCCTGGTGCGGTTGTTAACCTAGTTACATTCTGGAACTTGTCTAATTTAGTTGCCTGAGTTTAAAAACTAGGTCTATATTAAGCGTCTAAATTAAAGGATTGTTTAAACAGGTTTAGTGCCTTAAGAGTGGCCCTGCATGTTTAACATGCGTACATGTGTTTAGTTTGTACACACACTCCTCACTCACCAAAAAATGGTTTCCTTGCCAATATCTGTTAGTTAGCAAAACAAAAACTGACAGCTGGGCAAACTTGTGTCCGTAGTTTGAGAACTTATACTCTCAATGTAAATTTTAATTGCAAAGTTATAAAATGTTTACTCAAAGAGTTTATACAAGAAACACTAATGCACCTTTCCACAGAATGGTGTAGATGAAAACTTCTATAATGTTCAGACAGGAATTTCATTGCGTTAGTGGTATCACTATGATTAAGGTTAGTCTTAAAGCAAAGTCAAACTGTCTCTTCTACACACAATAAAACATGCCAAAGAAGTCCCCACAATTACAATGTACTGTATGTGCAGCAAACAAATCTCTTTTCAAATCAACAAGCTGTTTACCAGTCTGGGGGTATGTCTACACTACCCCGCTAGTTCGAACTAGCGGGGTAGTGTAGACATACCCCCAGACTGGTAAACAGCTTGTTGATTTGAAAAGAGATTTGTTTGCTGCACATACAGTACATTGTAATTGTGGGGACTTCTTTGGCATGTTTTATTGTGTGTAGAAGAGACAGTTTGACTTTGCTTTAAGACTAACCTTAATCATAGTGATACCACTAACGCAATGAAATTCCTGTCTGAACATTATAGAAGTTTTCATCTACACCATTCTGTGGAAAGGTGCATTAGTGTTTCTTGTATAAACTCTTTGAGTAAACATTTTATAACTTTGCAATTAAAATTTACATTGAGAGTATAAGTTCTCAAACTACGGACACAAGTTTGCCCAGCTGTCAGTTTTTGTTTTGCTAACTAACAGATATTGGCAAGGAAACCATTTTTTGGTGAGTGAGGAGTGTGTGTACTAAATTATAGTAGAGTTTGACCTTAGATCTGAACCTCTTTAGACTGCCAGCGTGCACCTCAGGTGGAAAATTACTCACTTTTGCTTTAGCACCATTTCTGCAATGAACACAGTTTACTGCTTGTAAGAAAGCAACATTATTTTCTGTAGATACTAGTAATGCTGGTTAGAATATCATGGTTTTTTTCTCCAGAAAAGACTAAAGCAGTGGATGGTGACTAAGCAAGCAGGCTTTTTTACATAAATGAAACATCACTTTTGACAAGTCTTTCTACATATATACTTATGTATGTCTAGTTACATAACTGCTTACGTTACAATCTGAAGAAAGCTACGCATATTCAGTAAGTGAAGGAGTTGTGGATATCTGTACAGTACTTGGAGGTGATGTACCAAGAACACTAAAAATGTGCTGAAGTGTCTCAGCACAGCACAGTGAAACAATAAATTTGCTCCTCTTTCTCACAGGAGTGTTGTGGATTTCAATTAATGGTTGTTTATAATGTGCACTGAAATAGAGACGTGAAAGACTCTACAGACATGCAAAGCATCATTGATTTGCTGTGTTGAGACCTTTGAATTGCCTTATTTGTTACAAAATTCATCTTTACGTTATTTGAAACAGTTATCATTTGTATGAAATAGCTATTTATTATATAAATATAATTATCACCTTACCTTGCTAACCAGTTTATTTAAAAGGTTTGTAATGTGGCCATGCTGTGACAGATTTCAATAGTTCACTTCAGATATACACTTTGTGATTCTTAGCTCTTCAATTTAAAAATTGTAAACATGCTTTCAAATGTATTACAGAAGAAAAGCAACGGAGCTCCGAATGGATTTTATGCAGAGATTGACTGGGAAAGATATGTAAGTATCAGAACTATCACCTCTCTGCCCTTGTTTAATAGATATCAGTGCTATGTGATGGGGAATTCACATACCTTTGTAAGATGCAGGATTATCTCACTCTGGTCCAAATGTAGAATAGTGATAGAGATGCAGCCGTGTTAGCATATGACCTTAAAACATGCATATTGATTCAAAGAGACTTTAACTCCAGACTTCAACAAGAAGCTTCAAAATTGTCATTTATACTTAAATTTGACACTTTATGTATGGGTTTAAACAAAGACTCTAATTATCTCACCCATTACAAAGATAGCTTCCCAATTATCACCCCTAATGTCATTACCTCACAGAAGCCTCCCCTATTATCATCCCTATGTCACTACTTCACAGAAACTTACCTTCCCCCCCTTCCCCACTGTGTTCTAAAATTTGATTTGTCAATTTCACATGCGTTCACTTTTTTTTGATTGTATCACTTGGGTATATATGGTCATGCCGATTTTCTTCCACATATTGATCTGAGGAAGTGGGTCTGGCCCACGAAAGCTAATAAACCATCTTGTTAGTCTTTAAATTGCTACATAGTTCTGTCTTTTGGTCCAAATGTGTTTGCTACGTACCCAGCATCCTCATTTTCATTTAACTCTCTCCACTTCAGGATGGTGGTCACATCCCGGAATATTCACAACTCCAGCTTGGTTCAAATGTTACCATGTATTTTAGGCAAAGACTCAGTTTTTCTTACCACGTATTTTTTGAATGTGGAATTATTGTTACTAGAGAGAGCCTGCCCCTGGAGTAGGGGGGATACTGTAAACTTGGGAAGCACATTTCCGTCAGAACATTTTTGCCCAGTTATGAGTTACACTAAGATTATTGGAACTGAGTGATTAAAGAATCAATTCTATCTCCAGTTTGTGTTTACCACTGCAAATTTGACAGTGTTTCATGCACAGTTTCCCTTGTTGTTCATGCATCTTGCAGCAAGAGGGGAGAGAGAAAATTTTTAAAAAATAGGAAAATGTAATTGTAAAATCACAAAAATTGATATGCGAGAACTAACCAGTTTTTTTCATGCTGAATGTCCCTCTTTAAATGATGCAGTGCATCGTACTGTTAAATCAGAATTGGCAAGTATAAGAGCT